GCAAGGAGCTCAATGTGGAACTCAATCCCGGGGACCCCAGGATCCCGACCTGAGTCAAAGTCAGATGCTTAACCACTGAGCCACCCAGGTGTCCCTATCATTTATTCTTGAAACTGAATGTATGATATAACTGAGTAACATTTATTTATTCATTTATTTATTTATTTATTTATTTATTTATTTATTTATTCAGAGAGAGAGAGAGGCAGAGACACAGACAGAGGGAGAAGCAGGTTCCATGCAGGAAGCCTGAGGTGGGACTCGATCCCAGGTCTCCAGGATCACACCCCGGGCTGCAGGCAGCGCTAAACCGCTGCGCCACCAGGGTTGCCCACTGAGTGACTTTTAAAATACAAAATAAAACAAAGGGCACAGAAACAGAGTTTTCCTAAACGTTGAACTCTAAAAAGCTATATTATCATGAGATATTGACTGATGGATGGGCATAGACCCAACTATCTGTGGATAGACTATGCTCCATTATGTTCAATTTCATCTATGTATGCAAAAATATATGTATGTGTTTATTTACATACATTCAAACATTTATGAAACTTACCACCCGGGCCAGCCCGGTGGCTCAGTGGTTTAGTGCCGCCTTCAGTCCAGGTGTGATCCTGGAGACCCAGGATGGAGTCCCATGTCAGGCTTCCTGCATGGAGCCTGCTTCTCCCTCTGCCTGTTCCTCTGCCTCTCTCTCTCACTCTCTCTCTCTCTCTCTCTCTCCCTCTCATGAATGAATTTAAAAAAAAAAACAAAAAAACAAAACTTACCACCCTAATGGATAATATCCTTATCAGCACTTTTATTTTTATTTTTTAAAGATTTTTAAAAAGATTTTATTTATTTATTCATGAGAGACACAGAGAGAGAGAGGCAGAGACTTAAGCAGAGAGAGAAGCAGGCTCCATGCAAGGAGCCGGATGTGGGACCCCATCCCAAGACTTCAGGATCACGCCTTGAGCCAAGGGCAGATGCTCAACCGCTGAGCCACCTAGGTGTCCCAAGATTTATTTATCTTTTTGAGAGAGAGAATCCATGAGTAGGGGGAGAGCAGGAGGAGGGGGAGAGAGAGAATCTTGAGCAGATTCCCCTCTGAGCGTGGAGCCCAATGCAGGACTCAGCCCCACAACCCTAAGATCATTAACTGAGCCAAAACCAAGAGTCAGATGCTTAACCAACTGAGCCACCTAGTTGCCCCATGCACTTTTTCTTTAATGTGTATATTGTCTTTGTGTATGTGTGTATGTGGGTGTGTATGTGTAAATATATATGTAGTTTTATGATATGCATAATCATGTAATTGTTAGTGTATTTAATATGAAATCAAATTTTGTAGAAGAAATGAATATAATTAAAAGCTGATATATACCTTTCCAGAAACTTAATAAGGAATAGAACTTAGAAACTAAGAAAAAGGAATAAACTTGTCCTATGTCTTAGACCAATCATTCTTAATTTTGGGGAAGTCTCAAACTCTTAGAATTTGATGAAAGTTATGATACCTTTCCTTAAAGAGTGAATGAGCATATATACACTCATTACTGGCCTGCAGTTATGAGGGAATCACACATTCATGAAGTATATCCATGAATTCCAAAGAAGTCCCTGGACCCACACTAAAATTTCTTCTTTAAATTGTCCCCATCAAAACAAAGGGTTGTGAAAGAGGAGGTGGGCGGGACATGGGGTAGCTGCATGATGGGCACTGAGGAGGGCACTTGATGAGATGAGCTCTGGGTGTTATAGTATATGTTAGCAAATTGAATTTAAATTTTAAAATGTGAAAATAAATAAATAAATAAATAAATAAATAAATAAATAAATAAAGTTTCCATCAAATGTCAATCGTCTAGACTATTGATAGAAGTATCAAAACAGAATAAATAAGACTGATGTTTGGGTCTTCTATAATAGTGTTTGCAGATGATTATATTCTTTCACTACCAGACATTACTTCTTCCCTCACCTTAGCCACAAATCCCTCTTAGCTGTATCTACTCCTGTAGATACAGGAGTAGATTTCCCATTTTAATTTTAATTTCCCCTCACACCACCCAGAATTCTACCCACACAGTTGTAGTTGTGGTGAGCTGCTTTACCTGCTCCCATTCTCTCTGTCCCACTCTATTCCAAATCCTGCCACAGAAGTAATCTCTCCAAAGACCGGTTGTTTTTTTTTTATTGTGCTTGTTATTGCTGTGTTTTATTCATGTGGCCAACTAGCACAATGCTTAAGATTAGTTTGCAATATAAAGTCAAAACCCCAGCCTTGTTCTTACTAGCTGTGTGATATTGGGCATTCTGCTTGACCTTTCACAGTTTTCACTTCCTTATCCATAAAAATAGGACAATAATATAATTTAAGCACTGTTGGAAAAAATAATGAGATAATGCATGTAAAGTGATTTAAAGTGATTAGCAAGGTACAAGGACATAATGATGTTCAATAAATATTTCCTGAATACATTAAATATTTAGCCTCAAGGTTTTTAATTTAATGCTTTTGCTAATTCCATGCTCCTCATTCCTTCCTATCAAAATACCACCTCCTGCATCAAATCTTCTTTAATCCTACAGCCATATGTGATCTCTCCCACTTCCTAATTCCTCATACTTTTCATACTATATATTACAGAGGAATAACCTAATGGTAAAACTCTGGGATCGGATTATCTGGACATGAATATTGGCTCCATCACTTACTAGTTTTGTGGCCATGGACAGGTCATGGAAGTCTCCTATGGCTTATTTTGACTATCTCTAAATGAGATATTTAAAAAAAAATAGTACCTATTGCAAAGGGCTTTTATGAGGAGAGGATAACTATAAGTAATTTCTAGAAATGGCAAAACTATAGAGAGAGAGCTAAAGAAGGGATAGAAACAAAACAGACAGGGGAGAGGGGGCTGGCCACAAATGAGCATGAGGGAGCTTTTGGGAGTGAGGAAATATTCTAAAACTGGATTGTAAAAATAAGTCAATCCCATGACAAATATTTTTTTAAGATGATTTGAGAGAGAGAGAGAGAGCACATGTGGGAGGAGAGGCAAGGGGAGAGGGTGAGGGAAAGGATCTCAAGCAGACTCCTCACTGAGTGCAGAACCCTACTTAGGCTCCATCTCACAACCCTGAGAGCATGACCTGAACCTAAACCAAAAGTCAGATGCTCAGTTGATTGAGCCACCCAGGCACCCCATCCATGACAGAGTTTTTAAAAACTGGCTTGTGGCCATGCTTTCCTAAGTTACATAAATTTACTAATATTTATCAAACTGTAGCTTGAGATTGTTAAATTTTATGGTATTGGAATTATAATTAAACTGTTTTAAAAAAAGATAAATGGTATGTGGCAAGGGCCTAGAACAGTACTAGGTACATAAAAAGCATACCATATCTGTTAGCTATTATTATCTTATACTGACTTAGGCTATTTATGATTCTTTACTGTATTGTTAAGAGTATCTCATATTCTTACTCTCCCATCTTCTTTACTCTCCCCTAAACTAACTCTGAGCTTAATTGTGGCACCAGGCCTTATCCATCATTAGGTACTTGGTAAATATTTACCAACTGATGCACTGTATATATGATGGAGTTTATGTCTAGTTTGAAAATGTACTGGTTTGGCTTGAGGGTCACACAGGTTTGTGTATACAAAGAAGACTGAATTGTGCATTTAGGTGGCTCATCTTTTACATCTATACATAATAAAGAACAGGCAGTATTGAGTATAGTTTTTGAATACTAAGGATCATGGTGACTGTTTTGATGCTAATATCTCTATATATATCCAAAGACTCTTGCATTTTCTGGGCCTGATTTTCTCTGGTCACACCAAAAAAGGGGTGCCATTCCCAGAATTGGCATACTATATTTTTGGCATTTGAAGGTCTGAGATTCCCAACACACCAAAGCTGTAATATTATTTAAATAGTTAAACTTTCCTCAAAGAAAGAGTAAATTTTCCCAAATAATTTCTTTTTTTGTTTAAGATTTTATTTATTTATTCATGAGAGACAGAGATAGAGAGAAAGAAAGAGAGAGAGAGAGAGAGAGAGGCAGAGACACAGGCAGAGGGAGAAGCAGGCTCCCTCAGGGATTCTGACGTGGGACTCGATCCTGGGTCTCCAGGATCACGCCCTGGGCTGAAGGCGGCGCTAAACCATTGAGCCACCCGGACTGCCCCCAAATAATTTCTTTAAGCAGCCTGGGCAATAGTTTCCCAGGTACCAGAAGAAAATTATGAATGAGATTATTACAGTCTTCTGAGAAAAAGACAGGGATGTTTTGTGTTGTTTGGGAAATAATATTAAGAAGGAAAAGGGAAAGGAAAAAATTATTGTTAGAAATAATAAAAATTAGAGAACAAGAAACTTTGTCCATGCCATTGTATTTAGCACTCCAGAGGAGAAAAATAATTATTAACTGAACATTGCTTGTTAGGAAGGAACAGAGACCAAATCAACCCTAAAATGGTTAGGTGAGCGTCTCTTCCAATCAAACATTTGTTTTAGCCCAGTGTACAGTTCTTTGAAAGAAATTCAAGATTTATATCTACCTTAAAAGTTTTAGGGGTAAGAGCAATTTAACTTGGGGAGTTTGGAGGTACAAAGTGCTAGACTCAAAGAGAAGAAATATCTTTTCTTAGAATTGTTAAAGGGAACAAAATAAGCAAACTACCTTCTTGGGCATTTTCACAGTAAACTCAAATCAGCAGGAAGATGACAGGCTATCAGGTTTAAAAACAAAATCACTAGCCAGCCTGTTATTGCACAGAGGTACTTTTTTTAAACAACATACTGTGGATCTCTGATTTTTACAAAATCAAAACAACCCACTGAGTTTTCTATCTGCCGTTGTTTCCTTTCAGAGGGAAAAAAAATAGCTGACTTTTAAAGCTTTAGGGATTTTTGAAATGTCTAATATATTACTCAGAATGGACTTTTCCATTTCTTTTTATTGAATGCCTAAATTAATTGCTTTTATTGTTCATACAGGAACAGGGGCAGGAGTTAGAAAAGATGCTTCCACATCTCCTATGACAAAAGGAAGCCAAAAGGAGCTTGCAATCACAACGACATCGGCACTGCAGCTTGACACTTCCCGGTAAGCCTCAGAGACTCTTTAGTTTAACATTCTTTAGATAAGAGAGTTTGGGGAAAGGGGGAGTCATTTAATAAGGAGTTGAAAAGTCTTGACAATTCTTAAAAGCTGTCACTCATGAGAGGGGCCTTATTTGGAAGCATCTAGATTTGGCCAGCTTGAACTCATAGAGCCCTTTCCTTTACACGTGCCCTGTCTTAATTGAAACTGGTAATTGGCAAGGATTTTTCCAGAGAAACACAAGACCAATCCTGTCTTTCATCCGAAAATGTGCTTAGCAGCAGGTCTTTCCCAGTTTGTCACAGAATGGTTACACACTTGGACTTTAACTAATTTAATTAATTGATACTGAAAATTATAGTGGGTTTTGTATTACAGTTTTAAAAGACTGTCAGCCTTTACTGATACTAGAGACATTTGAAGAGTTAAGAATTTGATCAGCCTTTTCTGGAGTCAGGAAAAGAAATACATTATTAAAATTGTTTCACGTGCAATAAGCCACCCCCCTGTTATGCATTTTAGGCTGAATATATAAACATCAACACCAAATGGGCTTATTTTCGGCTTCCTTGGAAACATGATTGTTTGAGCACTTAAATTCCCAGCATCTTATCAGATGAATATAGATTTTAAGACTTAATTTTAATTATAAACAACTTTTGGGAAATAACTGTAACACAGAGGACAATAGTATCTACCATCTATTAGGACCTACTATGTGTCCACCATTTGTATGAACTGTCTGATTTAATCTTCCTCACAGCCATATGAAGTGGTATACTACTATCATTCTCATTTCCAAAATTAGGAAACTAAGAGATTGAGTGACTTGCCTAAGGTCACTTTGCAGAACCAGCGTTTCAGACTCCAAAGCCCATTATTTTAAATATTATAGTAGTTGACAATAACAACCTCTATTTTGAAGGTGACCCACAATCAAAAGAAAATTTAACTAGTTTACCACATTCTTTGTGCATTGCTCCTTTCTTTTATTTTTAATGCTGTCCTTATTAGCATTTCCCAAGTACCCACATTGAGCTGTTCTGAAATGTTGAGGGGGGCTTCCTCCTTGGGCCACTTAGCATTGTGGCTGAATGCTTCTGCTCAAAGAGGATGCATCCCAGTCACCTTGAGGGCTTCCTCTGGAGGAGAAATGATCTGGATTTTCAATCTTAGTGAATTTTCCTATTGAAGATAAAAGTGAGATCTTTAACACTAATGTGTTTTTGATGATTGCATTTCAGTTTAGAGAGAAGCATGAAAAAGAATAAAATGTTTCCCCAGTAGGAGTTTTGTAGAACATTCTCAGCACACATTTTCTGAATGGACCATATCAACTTTGTACAGTTTTACAAGGCCAGGTTAAAATTGCTGTGAAGACTCATATTTACAGACCTTAAAAAAAGGATTCTGTATCTGTTAGTTCCTAACACTGCAAATCAGCTAAATACACATTCTCAGAGGTTTCTTAAATAATGAGTACTTGGCTAAATAAAACAATGTGTAACACACTGGATTTCATCCTTAGAAGTGCATGATGGCATATTATAGATCTTTTATACAAAGTGCAGATTTGAAAAAAAAGATTCAGTACTCTGAAAATCAGTTACCAGGAGGGTACAGTGGTTGCTTTCCAGATTTCAGAATCAGGATTATTAGAATTATTTTTATTTCAAAGTGTAGAAAAGGCATTTTTTGTAGACTTCTTTTCAGTTGCATGTAAACTCTTAATGCAAGATAAAACTCTGTTCTTCATCCCAACAAACCTATGAAGGTACTGAGAATAAGAGTAAAACCCTATCTACCCTAAATTCCAAGAATTTTCCAAATTTGGGAAAGAAGATGGGGATGGGACAGATACTGGTGGGAAACAGGTTCTCCTTTGTTCTCTGAACGGCACTAACACCTAGAAGAGTCCCATATTGTTGCATGATGTGCAGGTGATAAAACCAGGCTTGGCAAAGCCATCTTTCTCATTCACAATGTGGATTGTTAATTGTTCTCTCTGCTGCCTGTCAATATAATGTGAAATTTTCATTCCCCATTCAAGATAGAAAAAGTTGTGGCTGAAAATGTTAACATTTGCATTTTTATTTGTTGATTTATTTAAAGGACAGCCTCTCCTGCAGCAATCCATCACTTGGTGACACCCCAAATATGAATAATGTATTGTAGACTTGCGGTTACAATGTGTAATAAGTGCTAGAGACAGTAAAGGAATGTTAACTATGTTGCAAATGTAATATTTATTGACTCATAAAGTTTATTGCTTTGGAGGTTCAATAATACTGACCATAGGACATTAATATCACTTATCCTGATTTTAGCTGGACACCTTTATATGTAGAAATATTCATCTATCTCATGCTAACAAAATAAATATGTAATTTATAGCACAAGCAAAGGTGGCTTTATAGTTTCCTGTGCTGAGAGCTGCGGTGCTTCTTTCTCTTCATTCACTCCTGGCCCCCAACATTGATCACACACCCCCGGGCTGCCCAAAAGAGTCAGCACAATGGTCATGCTGGCAGCACAAGAGGGTGGTACTGCTGAACCAAATAGTGCCAGGCATTTCTGCTTGGCTGGAACAGGCAACACCTCACAAACCCACTTCACCTGGGGCTTTTTTCCCTGTCATCCTGAACACCTAGTGGGTAGGTGCAGCTTTGATCAGAAAGTTCAACAAATACTTCTGCCATGATGCTGAGTCAGAGTTTACAAATTCTACTTGATTCTCCGGTCTCCAAGGTGAAGCCAGAGCTGGTCAGGTTCACAATTAATTTGTTATAAGCATAATTATTACTGATAATTAACCCTTTTGTGCCTTCCAGAATTAGGTATGTCCATTGCCAGCAATAGAGATCATATAGGAACTGACACCCAAAGCAAAAGAAGTAATGTTAATTAGCAACCATCAGCCATAATTGTCATCCCCATTAAGATGCAGAATTATGTATTTCTTCGTTATAAATAACCTTTCTAATTGTACTTGATGTATGCCAATTTAATCAAAAAGTATACTTGCAACAGACAGATATTTGCATTAATGTAGCTTGGATCTTCAAATATTTTATTTCAAATTTGGGGAGAAAAAGCATATTACAGCTATATATCCTTTATATGTGGGTATCTTTTTCTATCCGGGTATGGAGATCTAATATATTTTATATTAAACTGAAGACAGTATCTTCTGGGATTGTTCAGTGAAACAGAAATCTTGTCCCTTTTTAAAATACCAGTGAAGTTTCTATTTCCCGGTCATATGACAGCTCAGTGGTAATTGTTCCAAACTGATAAACAGAGGCAAATAACAGGCCTGCAGCAGCAGGATTATGTTCTCAGTCCTTGAGTAAAGGGTTACTAAGAATTCTTCTCTCTGTTGTCCCCCAATTCATAAGAGTTAAGGCTGGTGCTCTTGCCCTCGTGTGTGTGTGTTGTGTGTGTGATACGAAAAGAGAAAAGCATATCTCACCAAAGCATGCCCAATTACTGAATTTGGGGAACTGAAGCTATAGTTAGCCTGTTTCTAAGAAGTACTGCTCACCTCTCTACTCTAGCTCTTTCAAAAAAAATGCTTATTTTTTTACGACAACACAGAGTTGAAAGTTTTGCTCTTTTTTTTTTAAGGTTTATTTACCTATTTTTAGAGATAGAGAGGGCACGTGTGTACAAATGGGGTCAGGGCAAAGGGAGAGAATTTCAAGCAGACTCACCCCTGAGCACAGAGCCCGACATGGGGCTGGATCTCATGACCCAGGCAGAAACCAAGAGTCAGACGCTTAACCAGCTGAGTCACCCAGGCGCTCCGAGAGTTGGAAGTTTAGTTTTATTTTGTTTGGTGTGGTTTTTAGATATGTTGGAGAGGGGAGATTTTTGTTTCTTTTGTTGTTGTTGTTGAACGAGGTAAAAAAAATATTTGGGTATGTATTTTCAAAGATGTAATAGCTTACTTGGGGGCTTTTTGAAAAATAGTTTTAAAATAGTTTAACATGTTCTTTTTTAAGACTGTGTTCCTTTGCTGTCAAACCATATGCTTAATTGTCCTAAAAAAAAAATTGCTGTAAGTTTTCAGCTTGATGAGCTCTCTATAGAGCACTTGCTTGTGCATAGTCATGCTCCCATGCAAGTATTTGTGTACAGCTGATGGGAAGCTTGTGAGACTTTGTGTCCATTGAGGTTGAGGCTGAGGGACTCAGCTCAGAATATTGGAGAACTGGGACTACATTACACTGAGCCCAGGCTGGAAGGATCCAAGTACCCTGCAGTCTAGAACTTAAACTTTTCTCTGTCTTAAAAACTATATTTTTCTGTGTCTTTAGAAGAATGCCTGTCTATTCAGGTCCTCTGCCCATTGTTTTTTTTTTTCATATCAGCTTATTTATTTTTTATTTTTTTATTTTTTTAATAAATTAATTTTTATTGGTGTTCAATTTACCAACATACAGAATAACACCCAGTGCTCATCCCGTCAAGTGTCCCCCTCAGTGCCCATCACCCATTCACCCCCACCCCCCGCCCTCCTCCCCCTCCACCACCCCTAGTTCGTTTCCCAGAGTTATGAGTCTTTATGTTCTGTCTCCCTTTCTGATATTTCCCACACATTTCTTCTCCCTTCCCTTATATTCCCTTTCACTATTATTCATATTCCCCAAATGAATGAGAACATACACTGTTTGTCCTTCTCCGATTGACTTACTTCACTCAGCATAATACCCTCCAGTTCCATCCACGTTGAAGCAAATGGTGGGTATTTGTCGTTTCTAATGGCTGAGTAATATTCCATTGTATACATAAACCACATCTTCTTTATCCATTTATCTTTCGATGGACACCGAGGCTCCTTCCACAATTTGGCTATTGTGGACATGGCTACTAGAAACATCGGGGTGCAGGTGTCCCGGTGTTTCATTGCATCTGAATCTTTGGGGTAAATCCCTAACAGTGCAATTGCTGGGTCGTAGGGCAGGTCTATTTTTAACTCTTTGAGGAACCTCCACACAGTT